TAGAGTTAAATAATTTAAATGAGGATGGAGCCATGATGTGACCCTGGACCTGCTCCCCTTATCTGTGAGTGCCTTTGGGGGTAATATTAAATCTCAGCAATTCAAGTCAGCTAAGGGAGATAGTTGTAGATTTTGATTTTTTTCCTAACAGTAGTGTTGTTTTGGTGTAGAAAGATAAAGATAGGAGTTAGGAATGGAATTCTCTCTGAAGAGGTTGCTTTTCGCCCTCCCTGCTTACTCAGATGACTGTTTTAGTAACTACTATTTGCAGTGCATCCTATGGGGATATTGAGACCAAGGAGAGAGTGTGTAAACAAAGTAAACTCTTGCCTTTGGGATATGTGTGATTAATGTCTAGTTCACAGATGTACTTTCACAGGGTCAGAAATTTTGAAAGATACGGGATTTGAGCCAGCAGATTTTAAGTTGTGAACTTTAAAGAATTGAATGATTCTAAAATGACGATGGAATATTTACTGCTTAAGTACTTCTGTGGTGTGATGTTAATTATGACCTCCTTTTATGTGTGCTGGGTGAGCCTGGGTTTTCCTGAGTAAGTTTTGTGTAAACTGTGTAACATCTGTGTCCTTGCTTCGATGGAGCCTCCCAGAGAGAGGCTGTTTCCTGCCATTGCTGAGACTAACTATATAGTGCTCTCTTGTAGTAGGCTACAACTACTCTTCTCATGTGGTGGTGTATTCATCTGGCACTGATAATGTTCCTCTTTGCTTTGCTAGTATCAGTGATGTATTGCTGTCAATTCAAAAGAGGAGTAGATTGGATTGATGGGAAAGATCTGATAGTGATTTTTGTTTATGGCAGAAAATGCTTTGTGTACTACAAAACTCACTCAACATATTTTTGCATTGATTCATCTGTCTGTTGATCTATAGCACAGCCATATATACTATATTAGGAATTAATATTAACATTAAGATCAGAAGCAGAAAAAGTGGACATACAACAGTTTGTATTACATAGAATGCCGTATGCCAGAAAGTCAATAAGGATAAAACTCATAAGCTCCAGAATATCTAGTTATTTCATAGGAAGTTCATTAAAATACAATATTAGAATGAGAGACACTTGTAGTTACGTAGAGCAATAGATAAATTTGAACTGTAAGTGTATTGGTATTTGTATGGATGTTATCTCAGTCATTTCTTAAGTATTTTGATATGAATGATTTTCGTAGTCCATCCTATGCTGGGCCTACCATCCTATGTTGGCATTAATCTAAAGATGATAAAGTTTGACCAAATTGGAAGTTGTCCTCTTGTTTGTTTTTTAAGGAGAAAAGAGGTCGCTTTAGTTCAGTGGTTCACAAGTTTTTGGTCTCAAGATCCCTTTTCACTCTTAGAACATGTTGAGACAACCACAAAGAACTTTTATGGGGCATGGGGTATTATCAATAGATGATATATTGTTTTATATTTTTGCAATCTTTCTAGTATCTGGCTTAATAGAAGACACTGGGTTCCCATAGCTGCTTTTATGTTCATTCTATTGTATGTTTTGATTGTAGTGTATAAAGAAAACCTGGTCTTATGCAGCTACATAGTTGGAAAAGAGGAGTATTTTAATAGTCTTTTCAGATAAGTGTGGATATTCTTTGACATTGCACCCAAACTTGACAAGTAGTAGTTTCATCAAGGTTAGTTGCGATATGAAATGTAAAACTGTATCTTTGAACTTTTTGTACTCTCTTAGGTCAGTGATTTTTCACCCACTGTACCACGGTACACTGGTGTGCTACAAGAATTTTTAAAACATGCAATACCTGACTATTTAGTTGAGGCACTGACCTCTTTTCCCTTAGATTGTCAAATAAAAAAATGACGACAGCCAACAACAATAGCCATTCAGTGTGAATGAATCAAAATTATGCCCCTTTTTAAAAAATCAGATCTGCAAAACATACATTTTTTTGGTGTACTGCAGAATTTTAGTGCTAATTTATGTGTGCCATGAGATGAAAAGGGTTGAAAATCGCTTGTTAGATTAAAATCTGTTGGTCTGTCTTGAGCTTGCTTTTTACCTATGCATTAGTTTCTCACATGCATTGGTCATTTACTGAGTTTTGAAGATCTTCCAAATGTTGACACATTTCATTATATGGTATCAAAAATTCACATTCATTAATAGCAGTAGTATATTTAATCAGAAATTACTTTTTTAAGTGATGGGAAAATGTTCAAGTTCATGATGGTGGATACAAGTTTTCAAAATACTTTAGCTTGAAAATGCAGATTTTATAATTGGCAATAAACGACTGTGGTTTTTCATGAAGTGACAGGTTTGCTTTGTTCATTTTTAAGAAAACGTCTGCTAACTACTTAAGTCTGAATAGCCGTAGTTTATTGCCTCCCACCCTGACCGGGGTCAGGACTCGAACCTGCAACCCAGGTTTGTCCGCTTGACCGGGAATCAAACCTGAGACCCTTCGGCGTATGTGCCGAGGCTCTAATGACTGAGCAAAAACACCGGCCAGGCTCTCAGACAACTTAAAACTTCAGGAAATGCTTTATGTGTAGTATATAAAGAAAACCTGGTCTTATGCAGCTACATAGTTGGAAGAGAGGAGTATTTTAATAGTCTTTTCAGATAAGTGTGGATATTCTTTGACATTGCACCCAAACTTGACAAGTAGTAGTTTCATCAAGTGTACCCTTTCTTCACACAGAATATTAAAAAAAAAAAGTAAAGAACTGTGTGCCTAGCTGGCATGGCTCAGTGGTTGATCTATGAACTAGGAGGTCGTGTCTTGGTCAGGGCACATGCCCGGGTTGCAGGCTTGATCCCCATTAGGGGGCGTTTGAGAGGTGGCTGATCGATGACTGTCATCATTGATGTGTCTATCTTTCTCTCCCTTCCTCTTTGTCTGAAATCAATAAAAACATATTGATAAAAAAACAAAACAAAAAATGTAAAGTGTAGAGGTTTAATAAAAATTTATGATTTTCATAATGTCATCAAGGACATTACATTGTTAAATGGAACTGGCTTTTTTTTTTTAATCCTCAACCGAGGACATGTTTATTGATTTTTAGAGAGCAGGGAAAGAAGGGGGGGAGAGAGAGAGGAGAGAGAGAAACATCAATTGGTTACCTTTCTGTGTACTACCAGACTGGGAATTGAACCAGCAACCTTTTGGTGCATGGGACAATGTTCCAACCGAGCCAAACAGGCCAGGGTATGGGACTGACTTTTAAAAAACTAAATGAATAAATAATACAATGACCCGTGACTGTTTCTGTACTTTGGGGCCTCTGCTTTGATTTGTGTTAAGGTACCATCAGTTTTGCTCAGTCTTGTTTTTGAATATATATAGGGTTTCCCCAAAAAATGTATACACACTTTGAATAATTGTAATGGCAGTGTTTATTAAAATACATTTCATTTTAAAAATTGAGCTATCAGCTGTTAAAGTGTGTATACATTGGGAAGCATACCCCATATATTGATTTTAGAGAGGGGGGAAGGGAGAGAGACAGACCTTGATGTGAGGGAGATACATCAATATGTTGCCTCCATATATGCCCGATGGGAGATCGAATCCACAATGTAGGTATGTGCTCTGAGTGGGAATTGAACCTGCAACCTTTCTGGTGCACTGGTGTTCAGCCTTGTTTTTTGTACCCTTGTTGCAAATGTCAACACAGTAAAAAAAAAAAAAAAAAAAAAGGCAAATAATTTTTAGTATTACTGTGAGAAAATAGCTTTGATCTTGTGGGCCCGTGAAATGGTCTTTGAGCTCCCAAGAAGTCTATAGTCCACTCTTTTAAGAATTGCTAGTGTAGTTCTTTACATAGAGGACTGAAGAAGGAGCCTTGGTATCAAGGACATCAGGAAAGGACAACTTCAAGAATGAATTGGTCAGTTGGTCAGCACTACCCTATTGGGGACTGAGACTTGACCATTGGGATTTGATAATGAGATTACTGGTGACTTTTCCCAGAGCAGTAGGAGCCAGATTAGAGAAGAGTGCAGAGGCAGCTATTTATACTATTCTTTCAGGAAGTTTTGGGGTAAGGGGAAGAGACAACTTGGGCAATTAATTTGAGAGGTGGGCTGTACTGAGGACAGTGAAAGTAAGTTGATTACAGGTGTGATACAGCTAAGCTTTTAGTATGAGCTATCTTGCAGAGAAGTGAGAAGCTGCTGAACATTGGATTCTTTGGCCAGAAATATACACAGACCTATGACATTTGGCATACAAACTTTTTGGTGGGGATGGGGAGTTCCTTACTAATTCTTTTCTGTTTGATTGCTAGGTGTTTAGTTTGCTTATTTATTATTTCCAAAGTATTTTTCTCAAGAAATAAAGCTAACATAAACATTTTATTTGTTCCCAGCCCTCATCCTTCTGTACACTATTTTCAGTGTTTGTAAAAGTAACAATAGCACTTTGCGTTTATATAGCACCATTTGTCCAGAAACTCAGTAATATTATGAATAGAAATAGTTTAGTTTATCTTTGCAGTGCATCTCTTGTTGGAGAAAGGGTTTTTTTCTTGAGAAAGGGGTTTTTTCTTGTTTTTATTTTTCTGTTTATTTTAAGGTTAGACTAAGTCAAGATCAGCTTGACAAAATCATACAATGTAGCTGTACCTTCATTTGCTTTAAGTCCACTAATTTTAAGAAGTTTAAAGAGATTTTTCTTTTAAATACAGGTGACTTAACTTTAACAATCTGTGATTCTCTCAGTATGGGACTTCTCTTTTAGTTACTTTCAATCTGTGGTAACAAGTGACAAAAAAGAAGGGTGGAATTCTTTTTCTTGTACGGAGGAGAGCAGGTTTGCGTGCCCGCGTACACATACATACATATACACACACACACACAATACACTTCCCCTAATGAAGGATATTCAAGTCTCCAGAATGAATTACTGGAGGCAGAGTTTGGATTACAGCCTCAAGTAGTATTTGTATTAAATATGTGTGTTGTTTTCTAATGTGCTTGTATTTCTAACTTCCTTCTCTTCTTTTTCTTTTTAGTCTGTTCTCTGGGGAGGCAGTAAAGGGCCGTGGAGCTGGCCTCGGCACCGGGAGAGGCTGGACTTCCTGTCTCTCTGTGCTGAATGGCTGCGATGGCGCCCGCTCTCACTGACGCAGCAGCTGAAGCACACCATATCCGGTTCAAACTGGCTCCCCCATCCTCCACTTTGTCCCCTGGCAGTGCCGAAAACAACGGCAACGCCAACATCCTTATTGCTGCCAACGGAACCAAAAGAAAAGCCATTGCTGCAGAGGATCCCAGTCTAGACTTCCGAAATAACCCTAAGGAAGACTTGGGAAAGCTGCAACCACTGGTGGCGTCTTATCTCTGCTCCGATGTAACACCTGTTTCCTCAAAGGAGTCATTGAAATTGCAAGGTGTCTTCAGCAAGCAGACAGTCCTTAAATCTCACCCTTTCTTATCTCAGTCCTATGAACTCCGAGCTGAGCTGTTGGGGAGACAGCCAGTTTTGGAGTTTTCCTTAGAAAATCTTAGAACCATGAATACGAGTGGTCAGACGGCTCTGCCACAAGCACCTGTAAATGGGTTGGCTAAGAAATTGACTAAAAGTTCAACACATTCTGATCATGACAATTCCAGTCCCCTCAATGGGGGAAAACGAACTCTCACTTCATCTTCTCAGGGGGGTGAAATGGTGGCATCTGAATCTGGGGACTTGAAGGGGGGTATGACCAATTGCACTCTTCCACATAGAAGCCTTGATGTAGAACACACAACTACATTTAGCAATAATAGCACTGCAAACAAATCTTCTGCAAATTCCATGGAACAGCCAGCACTTCAAGGAAGCAGTAGGTTATTACCTGGCACAGACTCCAGTTCTAACTTGGGGTGTGTCAAGTTAGAGGGTAAAAAGTCTCCCCTGTCTTCCATTCTTTCCAGTGCTTTAGATTCTGACACAAGGATAACAGCTTTACTGCGGCGGCAGGTTGATATTGAGAACCGTGCCCGCAGGTTACAGAAGCGCTTACAGGTTGTACAAGCCAAGCAGGTGGAGAGGCATATACAGCATCAGCTGGGTGGATTTTTAGAGAAAACTTGGAGCAAACTGCCAAATTTGGAATCCTTGAGGCCCCGAAGCCAGTTGATGCTGACTCGAAAGGCTGAAGCTGCATTGAGAAAAGCTGCCAGTGAGACCACCACTTCAGAGGGACTTAGCAACTTCCTGAAAAGCGATTCGATTTCAGAAGAATTGGAGAGATTTACAGCTAGTGGTATAGCCAACTTGAGGTGCAGTGAACAAGCATTTGATTCAGATGTCACTGACAGTAGCTCAGGAGGAGAGTCTGATATTGAAGAAGAAGAACTGACGAGAGCTGATCCTGAGCAGCGCCATGTACCCCTGTGAGTAGAACCCATTTATAATGTCATTCTTGAGAAATGGGACAAGGGAGAAAAATTCCCGTCATGGGGAGAATGGGATTTTTTGTATATAGGCACCTAGGTTCCACTTGTCTTTTTCCTAATTTTAGGTAGGTGGGTGCCTATACTTGTTAGTGAAGAAATGGAAGATATTTCTGGTAATAGTATTGTGTTTCTGTAGGCTAATAGCAGCTAATTTCTTTTTAAAATCTAATTTATTAAGGAAAAATAGAAGACATCCTATTTGTAAAACTATACCCATACTGTGAGTGAATAGATTTTTTTTTTGAAACTGTATCTAAGATATTTTTGTCAGTTTCTATGACTTGACTTCAGAGTTTATTGTTTCTAGTAAGTGGGGGACAAAAATTTAGTTGACCTACATAACTTTAGAGTTTATAGTTGGTTTAATTGAGCTTTCAGCTGAGAATGTACCCAGTCTTCACTTTTAACTCTTGAGATTTCCTTACCTTTTAAAGGACTAATAATCAGAAAATGCCTCTGAGTAATTTATAGGTTACCTCTAAACACAATCCACTTTTTCACAACTTGATTCTGAGCCTAAAAGAGCCCATCTTTATCAGATTTGGACTTTATTTTCTCTCAGCTAAGTTAAATGTATTAACTTATTTGCATTAAATTCTTTTTTAAAATATGTCTTTATTGATTTCAGAGGGAGGAAGGGAGAGAGAGAGCTAGAAACATCAATGATGAGAGAGTCACTGATTGGTTGCCTTCCTGCATGCCCCTGCTGGGGATGGAGTCTGCAACTTGGGCATGTGCCCTGACCGGGAATCGAACCATGTTCTCCTGGATCCTAGGTTGATGCTCAACTGCTGAGCCACGCTGGCTGGGCTTATTTGGCATAAATTCTCACTGGTTTTTCCAAATCTGTTGGTTTGAGGAAAATTCTGCATAAGCTTCGGTTGGCACTCGGTGTGGTGGAGTCAGAGACTCATGTTCTTTCCTCCCAATTCTGCATTTGGCTCCTTACGGATAAACATGGAAGTGCAGTATGAATATGTCTCCTTAAAGATAAATCAGTCTTCTACATTTTTTTTTATCTTCACCCGAGAATATGTTTTTATTGACTTTTAGAGAGAGGAAGAGAGAGAGAGAGAAACATTGATGTGCTAGAGAAACATCAATCGGTTGCCTCTCATACGAGCCCCAGTCAGGGATTGAACCCGCAACCTAGGTATGTGCCCTGACCGGGAATCACACTGGCAATCTTTTGGTGTATGGGACGACACTCCAAGCAACTCAGCCACCTGGCCAGGGCAATCAGTCTACATTTTATCTGCTTATAAGTGTTAGACTTATGAGAGACGGAAGCATGATTATTTGAAAAAGAAGGGGCAGGAGAGTTGATAGTAGATGCTCTTTCATTTCCTCTTTAGGTAGGGATTTTGTAAAGGTTGGATTACTAGAGAAGGCTGAAGTAGGTGGTTATGTTGGAATAATTGGTTTTTCCTTGCCTATACTAAAAAGGTCACTAAGATTTTTACTGGAGATTTAATTGAGACAGCTGTGCTTTTAAGCATAAAATTTCCTTTTTTCTCTATTTATATGATCCACATGGATAACTGTCTGAATTTGAAGTTTGGTTTATATTTCTATTTTGAGGGGAAAAGTCTGGATAATTTTGCTGAATTTCTTCCTTGTAGATGTAGTTCCATTACCATTTGTTAGCTTACTGTACTCAAGAGTTCATTTCTTTATTCATATCTAAATAAAGCAAATATATTTTGGAGGTTTGCTACTGCTGTAACATAGTTATTTTTTCTTAAATGGGTTAGTAGTTTATATCGGCTTGTGAATATTTGTGGCATTATGCCTACTGACCGCTGCATAAACCATTGCTTCTAAAAATCTTAAGGTTGAATATGTTATGTTTTAGAGTAGTTTCATATAACAGATACTGTAGTTGAAGCGTTTCAAGTTTCATGTGCTTGTTTTGTGTATTTGAGAAAAAAATCTAGAATCTAGAAGTGTACTGTTTTCAGGATACGTTGTATTGAAGAAGTTTAAGTTTTGGTAATGTGGGTAACTGTTCTAATCCAGTGAAATCAAAATAACTAAGAGAGGACTTTTCTTACTCCATGGGATAAATCTAGTGATTTGAAAAGACCTTTGAGTCCATTCACTAACTACGTAGTTCCCAGGGCCTTCTTCTCACATGATGGTTTGTTGACTGAAAGGGTGTGAAGTGTAAGGACAGCCCACAGATAATTTTAGGAATCAGTTGAATCCTCTTACAATTAAGTCAACTAAGTAATTGTTTAAAAAGTTGAATTTCCTTTCATCAGATTATATTAAAGTAAGAAAAATTGGGACACTAAAGGCACTGTGAAGTAAATACACTTTTGTACATTTTTATATAGCTGAATTCAAATTAAAAGCACCAGTACTTCAAAGATCTTGTTGAACAAAGTCACCAAATTGACTCCTAATGCAAGTATTTAGCCAGGTTTTTTGTTTGTTTTTAATTAAAAAAAATTATATAGAGAGATTGATTTGTTGTTCCACTTATGTATTCATTGGTTGATTGTTGTATGTGTCTTGACTGGGAATCCAACCTGCAACCTTAGTATATTGGGAGAACGCTCTAACCAACTGAGCTACCCAGCCAGGGCAGTAGGCTGGTGTTTGTTGACCTTTGGAGTATTTTAAAGATTTTTCAGCGATTGGCCAGACAGTGAGAGCAGAGGTATTGCTTTAATTAAAAAAGAAAGAGAGGGAAATTCTTTGGATACTGAGAGAAGCCTTTTCTTTGTGATTTAGTAGTCCCTTCCAAGTCTCCTAACCACATTTAGAATTCTTGAGTCCTAGAATAGGTAAACTCTCCATTAACTTGATGAAGCTGGTGAGTTTCAACTTGTTTTGCTTTTCAGTAGCCTGTCTGTTTGATATTTCACTCCTTTGCTGAAGTACTTCTGCCAGAGATAAAGTCACTAGATTTTGTCTAGGCAGCCATGATGAAAATATTTAGTACAGGAGACTGTTGAATTGTTTTGAAATGATGTTGCTTAAATTATAAGTGGATGGTTCTGTGAAAATTACAAGCCTTCATTAAGAACTCATTTGTGTTCTTTCTTTTCTAACTCTAAGAGGAAAAATGTAAGTTCTAAGTGCACACTCTAGCAGTAGCAGGATGATTGATTTTCATATGTTGAGTTTTTGGCAAATTGTTTATCATTGTATTATACTTTACAAATAGTAAATTCTGTATCACTAGACAAGGCACATTAGAAAAGTTCTTTTCTTTTTCTTGATTAATAGTTTTGGTTAACTTACTTTATGTTTAGTTTAAAACTGTCATGCCTTTTTATTTCAGTACTTTTTGGAAAATCTTCCTAAAATGTTTTATGCATCTTTCTGTCTTGGGACATGCCATTACTAGTTTGAAAATTCTGCACTATATTGGGTTTGACCTATATCATTGTTTAGAAGATTACTGGAAGGAGCAGGAATTTAAACATCTCCTTGATCAAGGGACTAACAAGAAAACTGTTTTTCAGTAAATACCTTAAAGTTTAATGAATCAAACCAGCAGCCTTTTGGTGTATGGGGCGATGCCCCAACCAACAGAGCCACCCAGACACGGCTAATGTTTAATTATTAATTGTAGAAGTAGAAACAAAAGCATTTATATATCTCATATGTATGTAATACAACTTCTTGAGTGTGTGCTTCTGCATGTGCTCTCTTCTAAACTTTAGTTTATCTTTATATTCCTCCTAAGAGTTTTGTTCTGTTATTTTGTTACAAATTCCTGAATTCGGTTTTTATTTTCTTGGTCCTTGTGCTTATAAACTTGTAAGTACTTGCTATTAAGAAATTTTTTCCCCCCAGCTATTTTCTTAAATGTGCTCTTAGATTGGCAGTATTCTGGGTACCTGGACATTAATGTAGACCTCTCCTCCCTAAAAATTTTTTTTCTTATTGAATTGTTACAATAGACTTACCTTGGTGGTTAGTATAAAAATAATCCCATAAAATGTTTCACTGTGACTACTGAAATGTGTTTTATATATTACATATATATTATACAATGCCTTCTTTATAAGGCTCTCAGGGAGAAAGATATGCAACCAAGAGTAATTGTATTTTTCCCTAAGCTTTTAAGCCTGTTTTTATTACTTGGTTGCTATGATTTGTGTTGTTCACAAAGTTTCTATTTTCCTGTTGGCTTTTAGAAGTTTAGAACCAAGCTTGTAGGTCTTATTGTTGTACTATTTTTTTTTTTAAAGCCTCATTTGTGGCTTCATTTTGTTCTCTCAGTTCTTGTTTTATTTTCATGTTTTTATTTCTGCTTTAATTTATTCTAACCTATTTTTTATTTGTCAAGGTAGCTTTCTGAAGTCCACATCAGGGTTAGGTAAAAATAAACTAGATACTCAGTTTAATGACACTAAAGAAGTTATTTGAATTTTGGGTTGTCTTGGTTGCAGGGATTCTCCTCTACTTTTGAGGAATTTCGCACTCCTGGAGTTGTTAATGAAGATTTCCAGATACAATGAATTACTAGTATGTTTGTAGATTTTGCTTTTTAGGTACTCTGGAATGCATTGTGTTGTAGCTTCTGCTTGAATTTATTAAGTATACACAGATGATGTTGCCAAAGTCAACTTGATTTGTGCTTGTTTTCCTAGTCTGTCTTTTCACAGAATGATGGCATGAGAGGAATATTAGCTTGGAGACCCAAGATCTAACCCTTCTCTGCTACACGCTGGCTTTAGGGCTAAGCGTGTAACAACTTTTCTAATAAAAATGAGGGAATTGGCCCAGCTGGGCGTGGCTCAGCCTTTGAGCATCAGCCTAGGATCCAGGCGATCGGGGTTCGATTCCCCATCAGGGCACATGCCTGGGTTGTGGGCTCGATCAATGACTTACCATTGATGTTTCTATCTCTCTCTCTCCCTCTCCTTTTCTCTCTCTGAAATCAATAAAGATATATTAAAAAAAAAAAAAAAAAGGA